TGCTAGAGCCGCCACTGCTGCCATTGTTTGTTTTCTCTTTGATGCATGCCTGTAGTTTAAAAATTTTCTATTATCTGTACAGTAGTTGGGTTTTATGTGCCTTGGAACAACTTTTGTTACTTCGACGATAAAATAGCACACTATTTTCCATAAACATTGTGCAGAATATAATTTTTTATTGATTTTACATTAATAACTCATCATAGAAATGCATGTAGCTGCATTAATACATGTAGCCAAAGAGTGTATAACAGGGAGTGTCTCATTCATTAAATGATTTTATTCATTATCATTTCTGTTTTTTATTACCTTGTAATTCCAAGCAAGAGAATAAGATCGGGCAAATTGCTAACCTTTCTCTGCCATTTTATGTGGTTGTAATATGGAGATGTGTATATAGATGCTGAGATGATAAGTAAATTAATTCAGGGAACAAATTAGAAACCAAGATTACACTCTATTGTACATGGGGTTCCAGCTGGTTCTACACTCGCTTTAGAAGCTGTTATTTTCTAGTTAAAGATAGTAGTGAGAACTGTGACCCATAAAATTCACAAGCGACTCAGTGATATCCCCTTATACAGGTATGTAAGAAAATATAATGATATTTGTATAATGGAACATATATAAATACTGTATTATTTCGTTCTTTTTATTCATATTCATTCATTTATTTATAATGTTACAGTATTATCAGTATATATAAAAACATGATCAGACATGATTTCCAAACAACATGCAAGAAATGAAACACATGATTCATCATATACAGGATACATTATTGTATTTGTCCAATTATATTAGTATTTTTATATCTTTAAAAAATCATTTAGTTTCTCTGATTGTATAGATGAAAAAAATACGATAAAAATCTGTAAAATGAAATAGTTTTATATCTTGATTCTGCTGAGTATAGAATATATAGAGTTATGTGCGTCGGGGGCAGTCGCGTAGTAGTAGTAGAATATTAAACGTGTTTAATATTTCCAAGATATTTCTCACGACGGCTTAAGACTGTCCCCGACGATAAATCGGGTCGGGCTGCGTCGGCCGACGCTGTCTGAGTTGGCCTTTATGTGTTCCCTGCCACCAAATGCTCAGCAGGCTTTGATTACCAAGATTGAACACGGCGAAATGGAGAGCACGTTCTTTTCTCAATGCGCACTACTTACAGTCAATAACTATGGCTGCGCAATCTTTTCCATCTTGAAGCTAATACATTGATATTTCAAGAAATACCAAACATAATAATATTTTCTGGAAAAAAAGTTTCGAATTTAATTAAACATTTACATCAGCTTTAGAAGTATGGTATATTGCAACTTGAATTTCCATAAATTGGATAAAACTCGATACAGTAATTCCAATTTTAACAGATATTAATTAAGGAACGACAAAGTATTATAATAAACTAAGTCATTCGAGGGTTAACTCATTCAAAAATTCAATCCAGAATCAGAGTAATTTTCAATTTTACGCTGCCTTAGCTTTATAGTCAAACAAATCGATCTTTAGACATTATAATGAACACAGAAGTAATTTTAACATATTTTAAATTATTTTGCGGAATCTCTTTCTGAAATATACACATAATAACATACTAGTCCGAAAAAATCCAATCAGGGGAACATTGTTTATTATAAAGATATTTAATGGGTTAAAATCTGCTGGAGCGTATAAACGCATGTCGTTGCCAAGTTGTTGCTAACGAAAAAAAAATACGCGCGATCCAAAGGCGGGGAACACTTTAATTGTAAAATAACATAGTAATTCTGTAGAACTCAATTCTAGAACAGTTTCATCTTCACTTTCATCAGCCATAATAGGTGGTCAATGTAGAATCTAAGGCCCCGTAAAAAAAATTGTTAGTCACCCTATCCCAGCATGAAAACTGATGAGGGAGGAAGTTATCCTGCAGGTCTTCTACCGCTTGTTATTTCTTAATAGCATATCTAGGCCTATAATAGAATACAGTCAATAGCGACAAGCCTTTCGATGGGGAAATGTGACACCTCGTCTGGGGAATCGGCCCCCTCGTCGGGGCATCGGGAATTCCCACACAACATGCCACGCGGCCATGTTGTTGCAACGTAAGACTATAGACTAAGAGCAGGTAAGTCTCTGTCTGAGACCTATATTACTAAATTATTAAATTCGCTCACGATCATGATGTATGTAGACTAGGAAGCTCTGTGGAACATCCAAAACTAGGTTGAAACTAGGAATATGAAGAGTATCATCGTGTATTCGTAAGTAGAACTCAGAGTAGAAAGAAAGAAGTAGGCTGGCTAGGCCTATCGTCACGGTCTGCCTGTTGCCATGCCTGGTCCAGCTAGACCAGTATTTTTTTTATGTAGCCTAGCCTAGATTGAGATTGATTCCCATCCATGTCAGGCAATTGACCTATGCCCGCCTAAGCTATAGCCTTACTGCTGGTCACAGTTGGTCTTATTTTAGCATTAATAATATATTTTTAAAAAGTCACCATAGTGTCATTGGACATATTTTGCTGCTGGGATTACAGACTCTTCAATTTAGTAAAATGCATTTTGCTGTATTAAACCATGGAAAAATAAAAAATATAATTGTAAAAACACAAAGCTGATTAAAGATTGGAATCCTACCACTGGACAAGGCAAGTATGAGCTTACATTTTTTCATTTCACTATTTCTGTCCTTTCATTGATTTTTATGATTGAGTATGCTTGTTAATTTTCAGGAATGAATGAAAGATTGAAGTAGTAGCTGTACAAATGACAATGAACATGAGAACAAGAAAGGGTAAACTTAAAAGACATTTCAGTATTTTTAAATTTCAGTCTTATTAAATTTATCTGAACATTCTTGGATGTATGCTCATAGTTACCAACTGTCGTGCATCGTGTGGGACGGCCCCGCATTTCAATGTGATTTTGGATGAAACACGCATTTTGCAGAAACACATGCGTGAGCAAAAATTTGTCAGGCATTTAGCACAAGTCTATGTGTGATAACGAATTACACTTTTTTTTTTATAAGAACACAAAAAAAAATTTTTTTTTTATATTCCTGCATCAATATTTCCCGAATTTTTGATGCGGGCAGGAGTGATAATATAATAAATTCTTCTATTTGCCCTTAGACTCTAAATTTTATTTCGTCGGGGAAATTATACCCCCAGTCGGGGGCCTCCCCTCGTCGGGCTAATCCTGGCGCCACCCCTGCATTCAAGATTCAATTCACCAAGAAAATTTATCTTTTTTGACCAAAATAACTTGGCCAACCACGCACTTAAATGCGGTCTTGCACGCTCATTGTCACAACCAACCGTTGATTATGTACCCAAACCCGACCTCCATTGGGGCTCCGCCCCTGAACCCCAGCTCCCCCAGCCAACTGGTGTAGTCGCGCATTTCGAATTTCCCAGTTTGGTAACTATGTATACTGAGGGATGAGTACTATAACCTCAAAGAACAATGATATATTTACAAATCTAAATAGAATTTGACATAGGGGGAAAAGGATGTGGTCCCAGAAAATGTTTTGTTTGTGTATGTTTGGAAATGCATTTTTCGGACATTTTCAGAGAGCAATTTAAAAAGGAAACTTATTTTAACTTAAATGCTTCATAATGCTTGTGTAACAAAATGTTTAAGAATTTACTCTGCAATAGGCCTTCCAAGTTTGCATGGATGTCACATACAGTACATTTCAACCCTCACGATTCATATCTCATAGCTGTATTTATATCGTTGTGACAATAAATTTTTATCATCTTGTATCATATTTTCCGAATTTTCATCCCAATGTTATCTACCATGAAACCTTGAATAGATGCCTTTGGCTTTTTTTGGAACTTGGAAAAAAAACCTAGATTTTCAACATTTTGGTGGTCGGGGCGCAACACTCCTAGTGGTTGAAATGTCTGCATCAAAACACAACGTGCAACAGATAGCAATCTTTGCCCATTCTGTAGGCCTATACATGGAAATTTACGAGACATGGGCTGTTAAATGTTGTTTTCTTTAATAAGATAATGTAAATCGACATTATTGTGGTCATTATGAAGTGGACTGCTGCTGCTGTGGTCAAGAAATTTTACAATATATATAGTTGAACTAAGTCAAATCCAAAATGCCATTGAAATATTGTTCGACTTGGATAAAATTTTACTTACAGATTGCTAATTAATGGAAAACAACAATTTAGCATGTAAAATAAGACCGACTTTGAAATTATTTGACTTAGGCACAGTCGACTTAGGTAAGTTTAACTGTACAGTACTTTTACTTGTTTCAAAAGGTTGTCATATTTTATTATTATGTTTTATTTTGCTTTACATCATAGAATCAACTTTTGCAGAATTGGTGTCAGTTGTGTCAGATTGGTATGATGAACACATACCCATCAATATGCTGAAAGTATTATTCAGGGACCATATAGGCGATACTTATTCATTACATACTTCTTCTAAGACGATAGATTTAATGAATATGCTGAAAACATTTTGTTGGAGTCCAGCTGACCTTACTCTCCTCTATGATACTATTAAGGCAACAAAACAATTTGGTTTGGAACATGATATTCAAAATAAAATGCCATCATTCCAAATTGACAAAAATATCAGGGATAAAGAAATTACAGTATTCACACTGCATCGGCAAAGGCTTGTAAAGCTGGGGATGTCGCTAACTCCAAGTGATGTACAAAAGATTAGTGATCTGTATAAGGTAAAACATACAGATAGATGGAGTTTGATCATGGATCTAGAACATAACATGGTCATTTGTGAAGAAAACATGGACACATTCATTGACAAGTTGAAGACACATAATCTACACCAAGCAGTGAAATCTCTAACAGAAGGTATTTCTTTCCTTTTATATCAATTTAATAAATGGTGATAAATTCACTGTAATGCTTTTAGCTGGAAAGCTTAAGGCTCTAATCCCAAAGGATGTAGTAAATACAATGAAACATAAGATATAATTTTAACAAAAATTAAATTCAAATTGAGACATGACATCACAAAACCTCTGGCAGTTACTATCAGTACATCTTATTCTGATGTTTGTAAGTGGACAGAAAATTGTGACTTAATTTCTGACTAATTAGCATGCTAGATTACAGCAGAAGAGAATATTTAATTTGTTATAAAATTTGCAACCAAATTTTTTCATTGATTTTCAAATTAATATTAAAAACATTCTTTCCCATCAATATATTGACATTTAATGTACCAGTAATCCAACATTGAATTAAATTTCAGACATTCCAAAGCCATCTTCAAACCCAGGACAAGCAAGTGGTAAGATGAATAATGTTTGTTTTGGTGTCATGTAACTTGTTACTGTCTATATTAACGCTTTTTTAGAAGCCTACGGACACAATGCGAAACCGAGGTACTGTACTCAATAAACGTCTGGGATTCAGGACCTACTGGTATAAAAAAATCTAACAATATCGCGTTTGATTACACAAATGTCAATCAATATTTTACATTAATTGATGAAAAAATAATGACTTTTTACATCGATTGAATTAGTTTTCAGACATTCCAAATACAGTATAAGCAAGTAATAAGATAATGCTTACATTTTTGTCTTATGCTGTATCAATACTGTATAAAGATGTTCCATGTGTAAACATGTCAGATTGCTTTCCTATCACTGTAAAAATATATGCACCTTGAGACCAATTGTTAATTAATATTAATTAATATTATAAATACTTCAATTTATATTCAATGTATTCAGTTAAATTCACAATTGACAGAGTGGGATGGTGCGAAACACTGTGTGAACAAATTCCCATTTTAGTGCAGATATTCTATAGTGCTCATTTAAAATGTCTGCAAAATAATAGTTATAAGCTGGAATTTCATTCTTTCCCATCAATATATAGTAATCAAATGTTGAATTAAATTTCAGACATTCCGAACCCATCTTCAAACCCAGGACTAGCATGTGGTAAGATAATTATGTTTGTGTTAGTGTCATGTTATTTGTTACTATTTTTTTCAAAGCCTACAGACACAATGCAAAACAGAGGTACTGGCACTCTTCTTAATAAATGTCTGGGATTCGAATCCTACTGGTATAAAAAAAATCTAACATCATCACAGTCAATCACACAATTGAATATCAATTAATATTTTACGTTAATTGATGTAAAAAAAAGTTATTTTTACTGTCGTTTTACACTGGACTAGTAGTGCTTCACTAGGCCTTTCTACATGGTCATACGCTACATGCATTTCATCTTTTTAAATGAGCATAAACTTTGTCCTGTATCATTCCATTAGTATACAAACAATGAATGTTTATGAGTGCAATGGGGTAGAATATTTCATTAGGTGAAAGATCGGATGTTCTATTCAACGAGGCGTAGCCGAGTTCAATAGAACATCCAATCTTTCATCGACTAGGAATCATCCAAACTTTCACCGGCTAGTAAAATTCCATAAACTAGAGATTTTTGTCAAGTTTTAGGTTATTCTAAAATTATTATAGCGCGGCCGTTACGTGGCATAACAACTTGAACTTTTTACTTTTGGAGAAAAAATAGAGGTATAAGTTTGCATGTTTGCAACTTACAATACAATACAACTTGCAATAAATTTTTGTACCCTTTTGAAATTTTGCAGAATTTTATATCTATAGACATTGTGTTTATACAACCGTTTGTTTATTGCAAAGTTATTAGCAATATTCACAGATATGTTGTTTTTGCTTCAGGAACAATCAGGCTCGGTATTGTGTTAAGTGTGACATATTTTTGGATTTTATCACGTTTTGGGCAATCACATGCATTATCTAGATTGTTCATATTTTCGCTGATTATTGATTATTCATATCAGAATACCATTAACTAGTTGATTTTGCTTTGCAAAAATCCATCAGCCTAAATCCCATACAATGCCAAACCAAGGCAATATATACATACAGCCCAGGTGTGAATGCAAATAGTTAAAAGCACAAGTTATGCGTCTATTTGATTATGGAATGTTATCGGATGTGAGGCTTGGTTCCAGTAGACACAGAGAATATTTTGTCATTCTTAACGAGTCCTACGAAACTCTTACCAACAACACTAGTTGGCGGCCCATGGCTGCTGCTATTGATGCACTGTAGAGTTTGTATCTTTAGATCTTTCCCACGGGCCACCAACTAGTGTTTGCATTATGTGGCCGTTTGTTGTTTTTATGGGTTTATCCCATTTGCCTATTAAAATACCTGTATATATATTGTTATTGAATATTTATTTTCTAGAAGAGAAAAGCTTTACATTACTTTTTTGAACATAAAATGAAAAAGGAAAATGTGTGTAATTTTTCTGTTTTCTTTTCACATTTTCATTAATTATTTAATTTACTGGGTGGCTCTCATGCTTGCGAACTCAGGTCTTAATGAGAGTCTCCCAAATCCTTCAATTTCAATTTTCTTTTATACATTTTTGTAACTTTTTGTTAGATTGAATAAATTGATTTGGGATTGATTGAGATCCAGCAGGCTTCCAGTAGAGATTGTATCTTTTCTGCTAATGTCGGTGGCAGTTAAAGTTTACATGTTTGCAACTTGGCAATAAATTGTCGTACCCTTTTAAAATTTTGCAGGATTGTATATTTTTAGACAGCTGTTTGTTTATTGCAGAGTTATTAGTGATATTAACAGATACGTTTTTTAGCTTTGGAAACCTATCAGGCTCAGTATTATTGCGTTAAGTATGACATATTTTTGGATTTTATCACATTTTTTAGAAATCACATGTATTGTCTAGTTTGTTCATACATTCAATGTTCTGAGTACTCGAACTAAAACTCCTAAAAAAGTATATTGTTGTGCCTATCCTTCATTTTATTTACAATTTCTTTGCCAAAATCTTTCATAACTACATTGCTACATTTAAAAAATCTGAGTTTTATTAGTTCTTTTCAATCTTAACAGGCCTTTTGGTATCTAGGATAGTGGGCCTATCGCATCATACAGTACCCTCAACTTCTTAGCATTTCTGCACAGTTGGTTTTCAATCTGTACTGCTAGTGCCTGTGATTCAATAGAGCATATTCTGCAGTAGTTAAAATTTTTCTATTCTTCTCACCACATGGTGGCGTTAGAATAGGGAAATTAGCATTGGTTTGGAAGCACTGCTTCCAAGACTAGGTGCGCATGTTCCCCTTCTCACTGCTTCGGGCCTCCACTGCTGAATGGGTAGTTAGTATTGCCAGACATTTTAAAATCTCACTGATTAAAGTTAAAATAAATCTGCATACAGATGATCGGTATACAAGAAACTTTCGTAAATTAAATTGAGACTTCTTAAACGTAGGCCTACATGGAATAAGAAATCTTTGTAGAAGAAACTACAACAATGCAGGTATAAAAAGAAACATACCGTATCTAATCAAGTAAATGCCCCTGATTGTTTATTGTTGTGAAGAGAGGCATTTTGACGATGTTAATTTTTTCTTTTGTGTAAAATGGATATAAATAATTACCATCAAAATGTGTTATTGAATTGATCATAAATACTTATTGACACCAACCAGCTTTAAAATAATAGGCACTTTACACAAGAGGACGACAGCTGTTTTTAAACTATTATTTTCTTGGTATCAAAATTATATGCCAGTATTTTTTTTTACATAGAACAATAATCTATTGGAACGAGCTATCCCAATCTCTAACTTCTCTTCCAGGCCTTGAGCAATTTACATCTGCAATTCAACCCAATTACAAGTGATTACAAGCAAACACACAACTGCAACCCATGGCGGATGTGTGTTCCATTGCTGTCTTTCGCATTAGATGGTTAAACAGGTTTAATTGAGGGAGCATGTTAGCAATAGAAGCTGGGACTTTGAGGTTTCACATCTTTTTAAAAATACTTTAATGTGGTGGGCACTTTCACTGATTCAGCACAGGTTTCACATTTTTAATTAAGAAAGAAATCAGCATCAAAAATTGAAACCACTTCAACAGTTGAAACTTTGATGTTAACAAAACTGTGATTAAATAACAGAGGTTAAAGGCAAGTAAACAAAACAGCAGACAATGTAAGATTGTTATATGTTCTTTGATTGATTATTTTTTAACTTTTATTCATAGATGTGAAATTAATTCTTAAGCGCAAAAGAGAGGACGATCAACCACATCCAGAATATGTTCTTGATTTGTTGGAAGAACTTAATGAATGTAAAGACATTCTTACTTTGAAGGAAAACCCAAAAGATTTTGTTAAACTTAGGAGCATCGTCTCCTTTTATGAAGATCTTGGTTTAGATTTAAAGGAAATTGGAGAAGAATCTATAGTATTTCATCTCTCAACACATGATCCTGATCCTTTGATGCATCTATGGGAGATACATTCTAGCGGGACGCTTATCCAAGATTTAGCAGATATATTAGTCCCAGAGATACATCAACAGGAGTTCTTAGGTGAATGGATGACGTACATCGATGAAAATCAATACAAAGCTGCACTCGATAATCTGAAAGAAGAAGGTGAGAAAATCAATTATGGCTAGTTTGACTAAAAATTTAAAAATTACATATCTCCCTCCAATGAGAGACCAAAGCTACTAAAGACTATGGAAACCCTGGTCTCAAAAGTGGTCTTCAATTGGAGACCTGCTATTTCTTTTTAACAAAGATGAATTGTTTCTTGGCAACATATTTAGGCCAAAGAAATGGGTGTGTTTGAAAGCAAATGCAGGACAAAGAAATTTTTCGCAATTAATTACTTCAGACTGAGTAACTTATTATGTGGTAGTTGTGCAGCATACATTTTTGCTGACTGGGATTCATGTTCACATTTAGATAAGATCCGCTCTGTCCCTTGAATACAAAGCTGCTGTGCGTATAGGATAAATACAATTTATTATTCACAATCGCTGTACGTCTAAGACCTCTTCAGTCCATTATATAGAGTACCACAGTCGTGTCGTCACAATGCCAGGAGACGCTCTCTGTTGTCAACAGACGTTGGTTACCGTTCATTACGCCTGAATGACCTCATAGGCTTTCTGGAAGAGGCGTTTTGAAAACTTAATATTTTACCATCAAAATGTAGTAAAAACACAAAAGCTCGCATTATATTAGTTATCGAACACACATTTAATCATCAATTAAAATTTGCAAAGAAAAAGTAAGATAAAACATCTTAATAATTATGTTAGAAATTGGGATCAATGGTGTGTCAGTGAAGAAAATGGCGTCTGGTTGAATGATAGGGACGGAGTAGTATCACTTGGTATCGTGACGTAAGACTGTAGTACTCTATACACAGCAGCTCTGTGTATATGATTTGTTTAGTCCATTTTATACATAGCCATTGTGCGTATAGCCTTGTCCTTTATTTATCAGTAATCTAAATCTGAATGGTCCAGGTCTTTGGTCATTTAGGTACAAGGTAGCCAAATGTCTGGTGTCTGAAATGGAAAAATCATTTTATTAGACAACAATGTGTAGACCTATGCAAGTATTTTTTTGGGTCTAGGACCAATGATAAATTTTTGTAGGGTCTTTATTTCCGTAATACGTCCTTAAAGACAAAATTCTGAGGTCCTGTAGGGCACTAATTGCATTGTACAACTGTCTCAGAAGGAAATTCAGCTCTGCCCCCTCTATGCGCTAGACCGTGCGACGCCGTCGGCTGATTGTCGGTATCATTCACACCTGGCTTTAGTAACCAACATGACAAATAAACTTTTAGTACTTAATCTCTCACCTAAACCTAAAAATTAAAATTGTAAATAAAAGATATAAAATAAAAGAAACTTTAAATACTGATAGGGAAAAAAAAAAAAATTCTATTGCCCAAACTGGTATGGCACTCCTGGGGGGAAAAAAACTGAGCAACTGGGCCGAAGCCTTTAATTACGAAGTTTGCCTATAAGAAGGATGTAGGATAAACCTTTCCGGAGTGTAAAACTTAACTGATCAATCAGAACAGTGCCAGGAATATATGCGCGTCACACAAGCATGCGTTGTCCCACAAACGTCATGTGTTTGCGTATGTTTTACACTGTCGTTTTGTGGGACTTTAGCAACAATATTCAAGGGTAGGGGCTTAGCAGAATGGTCCATTAAATACTTCACTCTCTTCAACTTCCATTTATAACACCTGAAGACTGATACCAAGGAGGATAAATATTAAGTATCAGTTTGGTTTACAAAAAAAAAAAAAAATCAATTTTAACTATTTTAAAGTAAAATCAGCGAAATGGGTTTTTTTATTTGTGTTCTGCTTATTTGATCCTTTTGAATACCTTATTTAAAAATTAACAAATTCCCTTTTAATTCAGAATATTTTGCACAGAATTGTAAAGTGTTCTCATGCTGCTTTTGCTCTCATTGAGGACATCAGAGCAGTGGCGACCGTCAAAGCAAGCAAAGTATGCAATGCCTAACGCTACTAAAACTTTTAAAAAATTCCCCAAAAATTATGTACCTTTTCTCGGTTTTATTTAACATTTCTTAGCCACAATCTTCTATGCCAGCCTTAATTTTCCAATAGATTGCTATAGTTCATCATGATACGTAAGTTAATATTCTTAGTTTTTATAGTTTGGCCTACTTTGCCTTGGTATCTAGAATAACCTAAACTACTCAAGCCTTTCACGTTGTCCTCTCATCTGCTTAGAATTTCTGCATGGCTGGTTTTCAATATCAGCCTATCGCGTAAACAGTGAGGCAGTAGAAGTTAGAGCATACCCTAAGATGGTAAAATTTCCTATCAGTGGCGTTAGCATGGTTATAGAAAACTGAGGGTGGGGGATAGACATTTTAAGGATGGGAGGGTGATAAAATTGGTAAACTCTAAATAATAAGAGTGGATTTTAAGTATGAAAAAGTGGGATAATAAGGGTGGGTCGAGATTAGCTTTAGACTGGGGGGAAAACTTTAAGGCTGGGTGGCCCCTGCCGCCCTCCACCCACCATAAATACAGTATATCCCTGCGTTAGAATAGTGAATGTAACACTGGAGTGGAAGCGCGGCTTCCTAGAATATGTGTACATGCTCGGCTTTTCTCAACAGTATCTACTGCATATTATAATCGTGCTCTCCTCTACCAGTCAGGTTATTTGTATTACCAGACATTCTGTAATCTCTATGATTAAAGTTAAAATAAGTTTGCTTACATACGACCAATATAGAAGAAACTTGTATTATTTGTTTGTTAAATGTACATGTAAACGAATAGGCAGGGCCCCGGCCCCAGGCAGTGAAGATGCCCAGGGCCCATTGTTTTGGCACATGGGCTGTCTATCCCCCCAGCAGGATCGAGGGGCAGATCCCTGGTGCCCCGCATCCCACCTTTGGAAGCTACAGCCTTTTAATGGATTAGAGGACTAATTTAATTGATTATAGAGTGCCTAATTTTACCAGGTAATGAAAAATAATATATGTAAACCTGAAAAGTAAAAGCTATCCTTCCTTTTATTCAAACGTGCTAAAATGATTCATCACATAGGTATCAAAGTTTACAGTGGTGGATCAAGGAATTTGAAATAGAGTGGGGCCTAGACAAAAACATTTAGACAGATGGATGGTCTATCTGCTCAGCCCCATGATTGGGGCTAAAGTAAGAAAATTTTTGATTATTGCACCACTGGACGGCCGGAAATGGCACTTAAATTTGAGTAGAATTTCTTTTTTTTTTTTTTCAATTTTGGTTAAATTTGGAAAAATTTAGGGGATTGGGGCTGGACCTCACCTTAAATCCGCCACTGGTTTTTGTATTAATTCAGTATTTATTTGACAATCGAATCTCTGTCAGGTCTATTCCTATTTTATAACTCGTATGTATATTGACATTGTCCAGGGTCCAAGTCTTCGATTATTATATATTAATAATGTAAATAATTTACTATTTGATACATTGGAAACGTAACTCTAGAGTAGTAGAAGTCATGAAATATTCATGAATTAAAGAATTAATTACGAGCTTTCTAAAAAAAAAAGTCAGCTTTTTTTACAATTCTTGTGGGAAAAACAAATGAATAATACTTGATGAACATACAGTATAATAATTTTTATTTATTCTATTTTAAAATTTTTTACCTAGTAATAAAATTGAAGTACTTACTCGGATGTTTGAATTGTATCACAATTCTTTATCAACTGCCTGAAATAGGTGTTACACATCAGTGTTCATGACAAAATCAGTTGGTCGATGACATCGTCGTCGTACGTTCTCCGATGTTTGGCCTAAAATACACAAACCTGTCAGGCTCATCGTTGACAACAAAAACACCTTTGCTATAATGTTGTCTAACCAAGATTCTGAAACCACTTGGAGAAACAGAGCACCAATTATTCAGGAGAATTGGCAAAAACAATACAACATCTTTGTCTAACCCCAAATGAAACTTTCATTTCATTTGATGTGGTATATTTATACACCAAGACTCCTGTCACAGAGGTAAAATATTGCCTTATAGCTGATGCTACCTTGAATGATAGAACTAAACTAAATATAGATATCATTGAACTCCTTGAATTGGTAGTATACCACAACCTACTTCTAATTCGATGGTAAAATGTACAAACAACTTGAAGGTACGGCTATGGGCAGTCCATTCAGCCCCATAATGGCCAAACTGTACCTAGAATGGTTAGAGCAACATGCTATAAATACAGCGCCACATAACATTAAGCCTGTCTTCTGGAAAACGGTATGTCGATGATGTATTGGCTATCATTCCTAAATGTTTCTTCACAAACACTAAACACGCATTTAAAAAATATAGACGTTGCTAACAACATTAAATTCACCACAGAACTCATGGACAACAACAAAATATTATTCATAGACATGCTCATAACACTCAGAAACGACGAAATGGTTACTAGAGAGCAGCTTAGCTCAGTCGGCTAATCTGGTGGTAGCCACTGTGTGTGCGCTGAACCGTGGAGATCTCTTGGTCCCGGTTCAATTCCCATTGCTGCTCCTTGTGTTTCAGCTAGAGGGCTGAAATGCAAGTTACATAGTCCACCGTCTTTCGGATGAGACGTTTAAGCCGTTGGTCCCATGTGCATTTATGGCCCATGTGCATGTTAAAGAACACAGCACACTCTTCGGAAAAGAGTAGGGGATTGTCTCCCGGTGTACTGTCCAATCACCACCAGAAGGACCCCACTGGAAACAAGTCTTCTTTAGACTTTCGTGGGCTATCCTTGGTGTTTACACCGAATAAATCCAATCCAATCCAATATCTGTATTCAGGAAGCCGACTCACACTAATCAATACCTGCATTTTAATCCTCTCAAACACAAACTAGGGCTTATCAACACTCTTGTGGACAGGACAAGATCATTTTGGAAGCTGATGAGAAAAAGATGAACTTGCCAACATTAGAGAAGTATTGAACTGCCAATATCCAGGCTGGTCCTTTTAAAAAGGTAAAAATGGAAGAAAATTTGACGTATGCACTCAGAAGCAGAAAGATAAAACCAAGAGGCAGTGTGGGCATTCCGTACATCAAAGGTATTTCCAAATGAATACCACGGACCCTTACAACTTCGGCACATTCTTCTCCCTCAAAAAAAAAATCAGAGGCAAACTTGTCCATCCAAAAGACAGAATCGACAAGATGAAGAACTGCGGAGTCATCTACCAAGTTAGCTGTCTTAATTGTCCACAAGTCTACATTGGGGAAACAGGGAGGGCACTCAGTACACGCATTCACGACCACGTAAAAGATGTCAAGGAACACACGGGTAGGGTCATGACCAGGGCTTCCAGATCATCAGTATCATCAATTCAACACAAGTCCACCACAGACCATGCCACACAAAATAATTGTACTAAATTGGGATGCCAGCATATTGGACAAAGAGCAACATCAGAAGAAACGGCGTATTAGAAAAGCAATCCATATACGAAGGGAAAAAGGACACACCATGAACGGAGACCGAGGCACCCATGATCTCCCAGATATCTACAATGATTTCACCTTACCGGGCCCCGCACCATCGCCAAACATTGGAGAACGTACGTCGAAGACGTCATCGATCAACTGATGTCATGACCACATATGCCAGTCCGAGTAAGTACCCCATTTTTATTCCAATGAAAAAAAAAAGAAGTCAATAACTTATTTTATTTATAATTTTTAAGTGCTTTACAAAAAATTATATTGATATTTCTGTTACATCTTTTTTTTCTGTTCTTGGACAGATAGGCATTGCCCTCTTTTGAGAAATCCAACCAGGTATTGCTCATTCATTTGTATTTTTTATGTTGGTTTTTTTTTTTTAATTTGAAATGTTAAAATAAATTATATATGATTTAACAACCATGCGGGTATAAAAAAAAAGTATTTAGGGCCTACAATATGTAAAATTGTATTTTGACTCCATCTTTGATTGTAGGCTAACAAACCTTTCCCACTAGCAGGCCCTAGCATGAGAGATGTATAATTCATCAACAATTTGAAATCAAAAACCTAAGCAAGTCTAAGTAAGTGTACATATATCATAAACATTTAGGTCAAAGATACGGTAGCTTTTATTTTGTCTGGAACACAAATCTTATACCCGAAACCCACTTGAAAACCAGGTCTCTATTTTGTGTGTCTATTTTGTTTTTCAGAAATTGACTATAATTGCATAATGATATTTACTTTCTACTTATGTTTGTAATCAGTATCTTTGCAACTATGAATTTGATATTGTATTTATTTTTGCCTCATTTCAGAAATTTTTGATATTTCGGAAATAATTGAAACACTGCGGCAATTTACCAAAGGTACATATTTATTGTTACTTAATACTTACACCAAGGAATTTAATTTGATTTGATTGATAAGCTTGACGATTTGAAATACTACAGTTTTAGAGGCGGATCTAGGTAGGGGTCATGCAACATGCAAAGCACTGAGCAGGTGCATAGCTTTTTTTCACACTTGCAGATACCTCTTCTTTAACGTTTGAAATTGATATTCATTACTGTACATCATTATCACAAGATGGTTTAAGAGTATTGTATTAAGAATTATTTCTGAATAAAAGTATCTTTTCGAAGATCTTGCCTTGTTAAATTTTGATAAGAAGAGGGTGTATCATATTGGTCTCTGGTATTTTCCTTGCAATGTGAACCAGTTTTGGTCAACTGTGCATGCGCAAAATGCTTTAAATGAATTTGATTTCCCAACAAACCCTCAATTGCCCAAATGGTTTAGGCAT